TTCTTAGTTTGAGTGATTACACGAGACATGATTAGTTTATTCATGATGTTTTATTTAGAAATGAATAAAAAGGAAGAAATGGTATTCAGTGAAGAACCGCTGGAACTGAGGAGCTACAACACGCAACATTAAAAATGTCAAAATGTTATTATTGTTTAAATTTGATAATAATATTTACATCATTTGATATCTAAAACTGTATAACAAAGCACAAAAACTTTGCATTAAACAAAAATTCACAAAAATTGCGATTTATTGGACAGAAGGTGCACTACAATGTTCTGTTCGTTCATCAACTAAAAACGACTGATTAAAAGATCGATTCTTCAATTTTAAGAATTGATATTCCTTCATAAAAATAAGAAGCGAATAAAGAAGTGTGTGTGTGTGTTTGTGTGTGTGTGTGTGTGTGTGTGTGTGTGTGTGTGTGTGTGTGTGTGTGTGTGTGTGTGTGTGTGCCTAACCGCTCCCCAAGGGTGACCCTCTCAGTGTCTGTCGAAGAAGATCTCTACACCGCAAGAACAACTTTTAATAGTACAATGGATTTGTATGTTTGACATACTCTACATAACTGTGATAATAACAAGCAATGCTGAACCACACACACTTACAACACGGTGATGTTGGAGTGTGTGGGATAATCCAGTCATTGGAAAGGGGAACGGGCGACTCAGTTTAGTCACTGGTAGCAGAACTGAGCGGATGGATTTTGCTTTGGGAAAGGAAAGTGAAAGTGGGGCTTAAATGAGGAATGTGATTTAGAAAATAAGTAATTTAGCTATATTTTTGTACACTATTATTTCCTCTGACTTTGGTTGGACTTTCTGAAGCATGAAGAAAGGCCTGAAATATTGCTTGCAGTGCTCACATGGTACAAAACCATAACCAAAAAATATCTATAGGGTGTGTTACCATCTTTGGGAAAGGATGCATATGTGTGTGAGCTGAGCAAAAATCTGGAGCGACCTGCAGAAGGTGTTCGGCTTTGTTGTGAATTAAAGTCTAATATTTCTGGCATCAAAGATCTCAGAGAAGTGATTTCACAAAAGAGAGAAACCCCAACACGAGGTGGAAGTCACAGATGTGGAAAGCATTGTTGCTCTGGGATTTGCTGGAGGACATTAGCTGAGCCTTGCAGTGTCTGGCCTAATCTGGTCCTTGAAATGTCTCTCTAAGAGAGGAACAATGCCGGATGCGATGAGGTAAAGCATCCCACATCAACAGTCCTTTACCTCATCGCATCCGCGTCTCCTCTCGCTCTCCCGTACGGCCGCTGCACTAAGTGTCGAGTTATCTGGGGATTTTGTGCATCAGTTTCTGCTTTTAACTGGAAAAGAGCATCAGCCAACCACAGAGGACACGGGGAACAACTCAAATCTCTTCCAGCTCTTGCATTTGTAAATTCTGGCAGGTTAGACAGTAATTGCACAGTTTGCCTCAAAGGGATTCATTAAGGTTGATAACCTTAAAGAGAAAAAGAAAAACAAAGAAAAGGAAACATCATTACTTGTGATTATACTTTCAAATGTGAACAGATACAATGTTAGAAAAAGTAAGTAGAAAAAACTAATGGTCAGTTTGTATAGGGGATGTCCCATAAAATGGTTTGATATGAGTTGTGCTACTGTATGGGGCGTCCCGTATTGAAACTGACTTAGTTTTTCCCACTTATTAGAAATGAGGTCTGTATAGGTGTACAAATAGAAATAATGTGACATATCTCCATGGTTTGATGAGTTGATTATACTGTGGGACGTCCCCTATAAGAACTGACCATTCGTTATATTTCTACTTATAAGGCCTCTAAAGTCAGCTAAAGTCATGTATCTCCTAAATGCTGCAGTAAAATGGTTTGATATGAGGTGTGCATACTGTGTGGGACATTGAATTCCAGAAACTTTTAATATTGTAAAGAAATATATGAAAAAAAAGAGGTATTTAGAAAGAGTGTATACTTTATTTTACTGCGTTTTGCAAATAATTATGCTGTAAACCTCTACATAAAAATTATTGAGATGTGACCTATAAAGAAAAGAAAAAACATTAGTCAAAGAAATACACAACTTGCAAAGACAACGAGTAAATTAAAAGTATAACAGAGTAGTGTTAAAAAACTCTCGAAACATGGCATCTTATATCGTCTCTCACAGATATATATATATATATTGATAGAAAGAATGAAAGAAAGAAATATTAGATAGAATCAAAATAAATATTAGATAGAATAAAAGAAGTAAAGATTAGATAGAAAGAAATACAGATATAGATAGACAGACAGACAGATAGATAGATAGATAGATAGATAGATAGATAGATAGATAGATAGATAGATAGATAGATAGATAGATAGATAGATAGATAGATAGATAGATAGATAGATTAGGAACAGGGGCGTCACTAGGATTTTCATTTTAGGGGGGCTAAGCCCCCAATATGATTTTTTTTTTAAAAATAAAAAAATGTAACACTTTAGTTTAGGTTCTAAAGATCACTATTAACCATTTTCATTACGATGCAAAGGCACGGTTTCATAATTACTGTGGTCCCTAATGTGAGGTAGGGCAAATAAGGGGGTTTGGGGTCTCCCCGAGAAAATTTTGATTTCTCTGATCTACATATGTGCATTTTAAGATGTTCTGAAGGCCAAAAAACTTGGATAGTGGGCAGCTGATTATTTTTCTCTCCTCATCAGCATCACACTCTTTTTCTCTTTGTTTTGATCTTGCCCTGTCTCTTCCCCTCCTAAAGCTGAGCTTTGACTGATATAGGCTTTTCATTTTTGTCTGTCAGTGAAGAAAGTAAACATAGGGTCAACTGATAGGTTGATTTTGCCTATGAATCATTTTCTCAGACGCGTTTATTTACTGAAAGCTACTAAAGGTAATTAAGTTTATTAAATGCATTCACAATATGTAGGCTACACATTTATTATTGATCTTATGCCTAATACAGGGCCGTAGACAGGGCTTTAGTCACAGAGGTCCTAAATTTGAGGTTGGTAGGGGGTTCAAATTTTTTATTTCTCTGATATGTGCATTTCAAGACGTTTGAAGACCAAAAAAGGATAAGAAATAGCTTTAAAAACATGTCAGTGGGCAGATTATTTGTCAATACCTGCTCTCTTCTCATCTCCATCACTCTTTCTTTTTTTCTCAGTCTCTTCGTCCCTTTCTCTTCCCCTCCTAAAGCTGAGCTTTTTTAATTTACTAAAGACTATGGCAAGCCGTTTTAACTTTTATTAATTTCCAGGATATGAATTGTTGATATCAACAATTACATTTTCACTAGTTAAAATTATAATTATTGATATCAGGAATAATATTTCTACTAGTAACAATGGCAATTTTTGATATCAGGAATTACATTTTCACTAGTAACAATGCTAATTCTTGATATCAACATTTACATTTTCACTAGTTAAAATGATAATTCTTGATATCAACAATTGAATTGCAACTAGTTAAAACTATAATTCTTGATATCTGTAATTGTATTTTCACTAGTGAAATGTCACCATAGGCTGCCATTCAAAATCAATTCTTGATATCAAGAATTGATTTCTTACTAGTTGAAATTCCAATTTCACATATCAGAAATACAATTCTTACTAGTAAAAACCTTTATTTTTGATATCAAGAATTAAATTGTCACTAGTTGAAATGTCTATTCTTGATATCAACAATTGAATTGCTACTAGTAACAATGTTCATTTTTGATATCAATAATTCAATTTTCACTAGTGACAATGTTAATTTCTGATATCATGAATGTGATTGTTACTAGTAAGAAAGCCATTTTAGATATCTAAAATAATATTGATATCAGAAATACATTTTCAGATATCAAAAATGAATTTTTTTACTAGTAGCAATTCAGTTGTTGATATCAAGAATAGACATTTAGACTAGTGACAATTTAATTATTGATATCAGGAATTCGCATTTTTACTAGTAACAATGTAATTATTGATATCAAAAATTATATTTCTACTAGTAAGAAATCAATTCTTGATATCAACAATTGATTTTGAAGGGCAGCCTATGGTGACATTTCACTAGTGAAAATACAATTGTTGATATCAAGAATTACATTTTTGATATCAATAATTCAATTGTTGATATCAACAATTAATTGTTGATATCAAAAATGTAATTGTTGATATCAAAAAATGTAATTGTTGATATCAAAAATGTAATTGTTGATATCAACAATTCATATCCTGGAAATGAATAAAAGTTAAAACGGCTTGCCATACATGGCTACAATTTGTATTATATCCTCAATATGTACACATTCATTATTAATCTTGTGCCTAACATGATGAAAACGGCTTTGTTAATGTTTCTTGTAAACTAATTATTACATTAGGCCTACATGAGTCACGTTACAGCCTATTTTCAGTTCAAAATGGCGAAATTAGACAAAACTATATTAGTTTGCCTGATTATTTTTTGTCATTCGTTTAACATTTATGACCTAAAAAAAGTAAAATATGAAATGTTAAGTTTAGCTACTTACATCTTATCTCGCACTTGACCGTACGCGTCGAGTCGCACTGTTAGAATTCGCGCTCAGCAGCGTCTGTGAACATAAAGCCTGCCTACTTTGATTTGATTGGTCATCTCAAATATTCTGACATTGACGAGCAGTGACAGACCAATGAGGCTCAGATGAACACACATGAACACACACACACACACACACCCTGTCCTCTGTTTCTGACGTGCTCTCTGTCGGCGCCGCTGTGGATTGAAGATGAAGAACGCGCTGAATCTGATTATAACCAGACTGAAGCGAACACGAATTTGTGTAGCCTATACATTAATCTCACATTATTAGGGGGGCTAGGCAGAAGTTTAGGGGGGCTGAAGCCCCCCTAAAAAGGGCCTAGTGACGCCCCTGATTAGGAATAAAGAGCCTATAACTATCTCACCTGGAGTGTAGGCCTATATAAATGCGGGAGAAAAAACCCTGTTGAATATTATCAGCCTTTCGCGTTTTACAGCGATACTATTTTGGAGAGATGATCCTTCGCCGTTTGTCTCTACATGAGGAGGAATATCGAAAACAAAACTAACGAAACTAGCATTCTGGGCTGTCTTATACAAAGGAAGGAAGTTCAGAAGAGTTTAGGAGAGGCGTGTCCACAAACTAGGCTACTTTCGATCTCTAGTGTAGAAATGAATGTTACTAATAAATATTCGTGACAAAGCCTTGATATCTTCACCGTGAACACTATGTCGACTTCACAGAAGGTAAGAACAAGACTGGACCGTAACTTATTGATCACTTTTCTGACATAATGAAGCCTCGCAGTCACGAGATTAGTTTTACTCACTTAGGCGCCATTCACACATAGCGCCTACGCGTAGAAAACGCTAGGCGCGCCGCGTTCGCGTTCTCCTTTTTCCAAAGCGCCAGGGCGGTTGCGCTCCGGGGGCGTCTGTCGTTGCTGTTCTTGTCACGTGACTTACGGTGCGCTTCGGCATTCTGAAAAGTTGAGATGTTTTTATCGCGGACGCGCTTGGAAAAAAAGAGCGCGCTTCGCAAAAGACGCGATATGTGAACAGGTCCTTACACGATCGATATTGTTATTGTTTTTCTAAACCTCGACTAGACGCGCAGCATAATGTGTTTTATTAGTTAGTTATTAGTTATTATGTGAATCATGTAGTCACGAATAACAATGTTATATTGCTACATCTCCATTGTGACTTCTTCGATGGGAACCAGTGTGTCAATAAGGTTACTGACAATGTCCCACTGTGTGGCAGATAAGCCACTGATATGCCCATGTTCACTAGCGTACACATTCAGTGCCCGTCTCTGTTCATACATTCTTTGGAGCATATGAAGTGTTACATCGAGTCTGGACGGCCTGGATGATGTTGTGCTTTGGGACACCCAGCTCCTCCTGAATGGTTCTTAGCCTCTGTTTGGCAAACACAGAGTGGCCGAAGTGAGTTGCACTGCTTTTTAATATGGCAATAATGTCGAAGACAGCTCTCTGACAAGATAGGCCATCATTGATAATGAGCTGAAGGGTGTGAGCAGTGCAGCTTAAATCAGGAAGTTCAGCCAGTTTCACTCATTTTACCATGTTTGCTCCCCCATCTCTTAGGACAAGAACAACACGGTGTGTTGCAATATCCAAATCTTCTAACATGTTCAGGAAGGTTTCTTGAATATAACTGGCTATGTGTGATCCAGTCATGGGCTTGACATTTAGCACCACTTGCTTTCTAGACCAGTCCTCAGAAATGAAATGCCCAGTTAGGCTCATCAGGGACCCTGTAGTTCCAGACCAACAGTCAGTTGTGAAGGCCATGAATGGGGCCTTGTCCTTCATCACTACACTTTCCACTTTTGTCAAAACTCTGGAATATGTTTCTTCAAGCATCTTTGTTCTGTAGAACTTCTCATTTTAATCCGGTTCCATAAGGGAGCCTCTTAAATCCAAGGTCTGTAACCACTGAAAATGGTTGGTTGTCAGTGGCAATCATTTCAGTGATACCGGCATCAATTTTGATAGACCTTGGATCTGTATCCTTCCACCCTGTCTTGCTTTCAAACAGTTGAGACACTGATGGCTGAGAAGGATCTTTCTCTCCTTTTTCCTCGAGCCTCTTCATGGACTTCTGGATGTATGTGCTTCAGATGACTCCACATGTTCGTAGTATTTTTACCTGTAGATGTTGATCCCACATGCTGATTATTTTGTCACAGATATTACACTGTGCTTTCCCTGGCGATACTTCAGTAAAATAATCCCACACTGGTACTTTCTTCAAAGCATTTGCCATCTGAAAATAATTTAAACATTATAGCCTATGTCAAATGTGTGTTTCTTTAGCTATAACACTTTGCGAGTCCAATTTGTTAACAAGGATTTATTAGCTAGCTTACATGAACTGTGTGCATTATGCAATATACATTTTTACAGCATGTATTAATTAAAAAAATTATTAGTACATGTTAATTAACAAACAAACAATGAGCAATACTTATACCGCAGTTATTAACCTTAGTTAATGTTACATATGGAATTTTATTGTACGTGTTATTTCATATAAATCCAAACAGTGGCCAACTTTAAATATACAACACCAGAGCATTGAAATGACATAAATATTATGTTACTATTTTATAACACTTGATGATTATCTAATCAAAATAACAAAATATGTATTAAAGCGATGATGGAAAAAAGAGCCGAAATCGAATGCTTTTCTGATTTGTTTGTTTTTTTCGGCTGTATGAACATATCAGTTTGCTATCTTACGTCTCTAGCTTTAAATATGCAACTTCACTGCATAATGAATGCATAAAAGTGACCAGCTGGATATAAACTAATGCAAATAGATGGTAACAATTGTGATATTCAATATTTGGGTCAGACTTAGGTTTATTTTTGTCAGTGTTTTAACCGCTGGGTTCTGGTCAGGGACTGGAGCCTGCACTATATCTCTACATATCTCTATATCCATTATCATGCCATGTCATGACAGAACTATACAATATGAAATTTGACAATACTGAGTCAAAAGCAGAAGTTGACTGATACATTTATTTATCAGAGAAAATAAATCAACCTCTTATGTCTCTACCATTTTGTTTTGTGACTGTATATTCAGTAAAGGCCAAATTTGGGTTGTGCATGTTAGATTAATGTTTGTACATGCCACTTACTTTACTGCATACCAATAGTGTTATCTTTGACCATGGGTCACAAAAGCTCTCTTCAACCATCTCATACTATGTGCATTATGTTTCATTTCCTAGAGGACAACTTAAGACAGCTCTCTACAACACGTCATAGACACTTATGAGACACCATGGACCAACACTCAGAGCGTAAGTAGTTACCACAGTAAAAGCAAAGATAGTCATATGAAAAAAATCTGCATTACACTGATTAAAAGTGAAGTGGCTCAAAGAAGCTCTTACTACACTATAGAATATGCCATTCTTGAATCTTATGAAATCAAGTTCTTCCTTGGGAGCAGTTATCATGTTATTATCTCTCTAACAGGTGCTCGATTGGTGGACGACCACTGGGCGAAACTTGTCCAGAGAGTAAATGTGGTGATGTCGATAGCGGATGAGCTGCGGTCCGCTGGCATGCTGCACCGGGAGGCGTACAGTAAGATCAGAGCAGCAGATATTAATCAGGAGAAAATGAGAGAGCTTGAGGAAGTGTTGAACTCTGGAGGAGACAAGGTTAAATCTGCCTTTTATTCTAGCCTGGAAAAGCATGAGCCATCTCTGTTTAGCGACTTAGGTAAGAGCACACTAATTTAGGCTATTATACCACATGTGTCTAGACCTACAGTATGTACTGAGAAATGTACTTTTTAAAATATGTAGAAATTTTGTAGAAACCTTAAATATTTTGTCTTAACTTTCCATCTTGTTAACTTATTTCTATCAGGACCACTATCGTCAAATTTGACAATTAGCATATATTTTGGATTGGCGTTCTGGTTCTGTTCTGTGCAGCCTAGCATGGATAAGAGCAGGGAGAGCAGCAATAACACCCTTTCGGGTAAACAGAACAGAACCAACATGAATGAATTGTAGATATCATTAACCCTTTCGCACGTACGTTTAAAATATTTTAACTGACCCCCCAGCGTGAGTTTTTCAAGGCGACCGTTATTTAGAACCTGCCACTTTAATGTTTCCATGGTGACGCGTCATTTCTTGTCACGTGACACAGCGCAATCACAACACAGAGCTGAATGAGTGATGATCTGCTTTTATGTATTTTTTCCTTTTCTATTCAAAATATTCACACATGTATTAGCTATAGCATGAAACACTGATATTCCGATTGTCAAATATGTGCAAGTGGATGTGTTTTGTTGTTTAAACGTCTTTATAACGATCGCGTTAGTTGAGCTGGATGTGCGAAGGGCGGCGCCATGTTAGTTTGTTTCACAGTTCAGAGAATCGGATCTGTTGTTTCTCACGAAATACATGAAAGTAAGTGGCCGGTGAACTAGGAGAAGAATAGGGTAAAATGTAAAGCTACTTACACAATGGGTATCTGATATGAATAAAACGTTTTGTCTTATTATAATGGAAATGATTATTGTAGCCGTTTCCATAGACATCAGTGTCTATTTTACTAATTCAAAATCACTGTTTTGCTAGTACTTATGTGTATTTAAATGTCTGAAACCTAAAATAAACATTATGTGGTTTAAAATACTCAATAGTTGTGATATATGACAGCACTGAGTGTGTCCTTCTCTGGCTCAGCGCCAGCCAACGCGCGAAAGCACGTTTGAATTTAGCAGTTGATCACGTGATGCACTGACCGTTCTAATCACACCGGTGTGATCGTACGCTCCAGGGACCAGCCAAGACTGATCACACCGGTGTGATCGTACGTGTGAAAGGGTTAATGTCAATATTTTAATGTACAACATAATTCGAGAATTTAGTCTGACTCAAAGGGGAATCAGAAGGCCAAATCCTGACTGACGAGAGGTGGAGCTGGGGAGGGAGGAGGGTAATTCACTCCTGAGAAACGCGATAGCTGCTGATAATACTGGAGGAGCTTATATATGAATGTAGTGATGGGCATCGTATTCCTATAGGTCATAGGTCGGCAACCCGCGGCTCTAGAGCCGCATGCGGCTCTTAAGCGCCGCCCTAGTGGCTCCCTGGAGCTTTTTCAAAAATTTGAAAATGGAAAAAATATTTTTTGTTTTAATATAATTTCTGTAGGAGGAAAAACATGACAAATATTATTAAAGTTTTTCAACGTTGTAAAAATGTGTATAATAAATATTTAATTTCAACATTTCTGTCAACGAAGAATTTACGTCATAGACTGTGACACACGTGTCTGTCAGATCGGCGTGATGCTAGACCGGTGGCTGACAAACAAACAAACTAACCGGCGGGTGTGTCATGGGCCATGGATCCCAAGGGGAAAAAGAGAAAGATAGCTGAGCACTCCCAACGCAATAGAGTGCGGCGTGGGACTAGATTTGATGGGCGAGTGCGAGCGCGGGCACGTGCGGTAATGCACTCACTCTACTAAAACAAAATAGAAACGATTTACAGGCCAGAATTTCTATTCATAACATGTTTGCAGCGTTGAGCGATATAGCCAATCACAGACATATGTGTTGATTTCTTGAACGCAAAGGCCAATCAGAAGCATTTAAGATAGACTCCCCTCACCGCTCAAAACTGACGTTTTTGTTCAGTGCTGAATTCTGTATGCTGGCAAATCCTTTAATTATAACGAACAAAGTGTGGATATTATGAAAGATTCATTGTGCTGTCAGCTTCATTGATAATAACAGAGATGTGTGAGACCGCGATGAACTGTCAGCTTTTTAGGAATTATTAAGAGAGCGCACTTTGCGCGCATTCAGTCATGGCAAACCATGCATGCAGTAAACTGCTTGCTTTTATGTTAAATTAACAGTGGTTTGTGTTTTAATGTTTTAATAACAAATAATTTATCAGGAGGATGTATGGTGGCGACACGTAGGCTAACTTGAAAGTATTTGGAGGTACAGAAAAAAGTGTATTTGCGGGCGGGAGCGGGACAAAACATAAATGTTGCGGGCGGGAGAAAGAAAGTTGAGAACGTCAGTTATAACGACCCACGCATTAAAAAATGGTCGGGTTAAAATCGGGCTCAGGCTCATAATTACGTTTAATGTGTCGGGCCGGGCCGGGCTTGATTTTTTGGGCCCGATCTAAGCTCTAAGTTGTAGCCTACTTATCATTTTGATACTAATAAAGCTAATATACCACTTACAGCATGTGTTGCCTTCATTATAAGGCTTATATAAAGCTTTTAATTTTTTGCGGCTCCAGACAGATTTTTTTTTTTTTGGGTCCAATATGGCTCTTTCAACATTTTGGGTTGCCGACCCCTGCTATAGGTAGATGTGGATCAGCTGAGAGTCTGAGAGTCTTTGCTTTTCAAACTGGAAGTAGAAAATTGCTCTAAAATGATGTGCAGTCTGTACATATTTATTCCCATCTCAAAAAATGTGTATCACCAATTCTGTTAGTTTAGGGCAGTTGTGGCACAAAACTTACATTGGGTGGTGGTCTAATAAATTTGTTCAGCAATAGATTGACAGACAGACAGATAGATAGATAGATAGATAGATAGATAGATAGATAGATAGATAGATAGATAGATAGATAGATAGATAGATAGATAGATAGATAGATAGATAGATAGATAGATAGATAGATAGATAGATAGATGCCTTAATCAATATATATATATATATATATATATATATATATATACAATAAATATCAGTATATCAATTAATAAATCAATTAATGTATCAAGTGTGTCTATGTTCTACAGGCTTCACAGGACATCACACACGCTCTGAAAAAGTGACAGGTGACTGATGAATTTTATAATAATAAGTTTTAAATATTGCACTCCATCCATCTCATAATTTAGTTGGTATTTGTCTGCTCTTGAATTTCTTACAGTATTATAATCAGAAAAAAAATAACTCTTTGAACATTGACTGTTTCTACAGAAATCAGCCCAGTGATTCACAAATATATGAAGCGGATCTGCAGCGAGTATCAGTATGTGACTGAGTATAACTCACTGCCTGGTGAACATGTGCTGCTGTCTGAGCGCTTCACACAACCTCTGATCCTTCGGAAACATAGAGATCGAATAGAGCGAGAAGAAGAGATCCGCTCCAGTGGAGAGAGCTTCCAGCAGGTCCTCAGCTCCAGGAGTAGTGGAGACTCTGTCCATCCCAACTCTCTGTTCGACCCAGATGACCACGGGATCAGTCCCAGTTCTGTGATACTGCAGGGAAATTCTGGAAACGGGAAATCTTTCACTGTGCAGAAGATCATGATGGACTGGGCATCTGGTGTCCTCTACAAAGGGCGGTTTGATATTGTGTTCCACTTAAAGTGTAAAGAAATAAATCGCATTCCTGGCGAGAAGAGTTTGGTGGAGATCTTGAGCTGCAGTTGTAGTTTAACATCACATGAGATCTCACAGGTTTTACAGCAGTCGCCAGAGAAGGTGCTTGTGGTCATTGATGGATTTGATGAATTGAAACTCCCACAGGACATTAATGACACGTCAGCACACACTGATCTGCTTCAGAAAGCCCCACCTGTGGACACTCTTTGTGCCCTGCTGAAGGGTCGAATCCTGCCTGAGTCTTTCCTGCTGGTCTCCTCCAGATCTACAGCTACGGACACACTCAGTAAACTGCTCAAAGGACCTCAGCGTTTCTCTGAGATTGTGGGATTTTCAGAGAAGGGGGTGGAGGAGTACTTCCAGAAGTTTTTTCAAAATGAGGAACGTTTCAGGGAGGCTTATACATATGTGAAGGCAAATGAAACCCTCATCACTGCCTGCTCAATCCCTGTCATCTGCTGGATCATCTGCACAACTATCCAGGAGCGATTCAAATATGGTGCAAATAAGACAAGTGGACTGGAAACCACCACCTCCATCTACGTGGACTTTGTGTGCACTCTTCTGAAGCATCACTGCCAGGGTTTGAGTCAGTCCGTCCCGACCCTGCTGAGGAGTCTGGGTCAGCTGGCAGAGAGAGGGATGCAGGAACAGCAAGTCCTGCTGGATGAGCAAAGTGTGAATGAAACCATTTCAGACCCGGCTGGAAATCCATTCTTGTGCAAGTTCCTGTTTAAGAGACGAATCCACCAGGAGACGATGTTCAGTTTCATGCATCTGAGCTTTCAGGAGTTGTTCAGTGCTCTGTACTATGTCCTTCTCGATGAAGAAGAGTCCCAGAGGAAACTTACAAGGTCACTTTTAATGGATAGTTCCTCAAATCCACGTTTTGCAGCTGTGGTGC